AGTATCCAGCAGCAGTTTAAGATACCTTTGAAAATCTGACACATTCACACATTTCTGGTAAACATAGTAAAAAACTTGCTGTGTATGCTCTCCCAGTGTGGCAGGTAGGATATGTATACTGGGGTATCTCAGGTGGCATTAGAAGCCAACGTGAGGGAAACTGAGTCAAGCTTGAGGTTTACCTGGAATCAAGAACCGACAAGCTCATGGAGGAGAAATCCAGTGAGGATTTCATAAACAGAAACCACCTCTGACTCTGGAAGTCCCAGAGTTGCGAATTTTCAGAAACATGTGGGCTATGTGTGGCTGCTGTTGTTTTATACTTGCTTTATTCTTACACTTCTCCTTATACATCTATTATTTGTTGCCATTAGAAATAGGCTGTTGGGTTAGATGAAATTTTGATCTGACTCAGTATAGCTGTTCTTTTGGTCTTTTTTTTTTCCTTTTCTGGTGTGTTGAGAGAATTTTTTCTTCTCCCCTGGAGCTCTTGGCTAGAGAATGCCCAGCCCTCCGGCAGTGATGCACGTGCACCCTGGTCAGCGCGTAGGGCTGCTTAATGCAGTCAGGCTCTTCAGAGACTTCAGCTGTCAAAATCTTCCCAGTTCTTGACAGCAGACTTCACAGGAGGTTTATAGAGATTTGAGATTTGATCAAGTTTGTGCTGAAGGCATATATCTAGTATCTTCTTCCCACTTTCAAACTTTTGCACTGGAGCATGAAACGTGGGGCACGTTATCAAGGAATACCTGCAAGATTCTTTTATTAGAAGCAGAAAAACACTTTCTCTCTCAAAAATGTCTAGTTTTTTTTGCTTTAAAACAATTGGTGGGACACAGATGCTTGTCCTGAAAAAATTATTTCACTCCAATTAGTTAATTAATTAATTTAAAAGGTGATGAGCAAATGGAAAAAAAAGTCTCCAGAAGGTGTTGGACAGGTTTATATGTGAGTCGTCACTAATGCATACCATCACTCTGAGTTCTGCTGGCTTCTAAAACAAACAAGTTAGTGTGGACTTCCAGGGCTCACAGACTGTAAAACAATGCAGTTTAAATCCCATTTAGTTTAGCAAGATACAGAACTGCACCGAGGCCCTGGCGTGAAGAAGCTATGGAGGAAGAAAGAGGAAAAATAAGGAAATCAGGTTTATAAGCTTGTGTTGTTGGTGACTATCCAATAACTTGGATCATGGCTAGCTTCAGATACGCCTGGCAGAGGTACACACAGAGATTCTCCCATGTCAATTCTACATAATCACTGCCTGGGGCCTGGGGCTGAGGGAGGAGACTTCATGAGCCATTTTTGGGGACTACTTGCTTCTGAGAGATGGAACACTTTGTAGGCTAGCCCAGAGCCAGCAAATACTAACCAACTTGCCACTCAGCAAGCCTAGTCTCACCAGCCAGTCTGCACCCCACAGGTTCACACTCCCCGTAGCAAAATAGGTTATCTTCCAGCCTGCCAAGCAAGCAGTGGGAGGTGGAGTAACAGGCAAGGGTTGCCATTATTGTGGCCACACGAGATGACGCAGCATCATAGGAAACCGCGCTTCGCTACAGCTAGGAACTGTGAAACTGTTTGCTGCTGGTGCACCTCAGTGGGGTCCAGGGTTAAATCCCTGACTCTTTGAGAGGGATCCTGCATTTATATCAGGCAAGAATGCTAAAAATAAATTTCTCTTAGTCCTTTTGTTTTTATTGCCAATCTAGTTTTTGGTGGGAACTATTTCTCAATATATGCTGAATATGCAGCATATATCACATTATCATTATGATTTCACATAAAGCCTCTATATAAAACAAAAATCCAAGTAAACGAGTCACTCTATGATGCAGGTAATATGTTTTGGGTAGGCGAGAAGGTGGCAAATAAAGCGTTCAGATCTGATATTATTTATTCAAACATTGTCTGCTGGAAGACACCTCGTGATGCACAGTCACTGTGGCCTAACCCAGCCTGTTCCTGGTGAAATGCTGTTAAAAGACTGGTGACCCTATCAGGTTCATGCAGGCAAACAGGTTGCAGAGCCCGTGACGGTTACAAATTGTTTATAACAGAGGAGAAAACCAGCCTTGCTGGGAAATGAATATTTCTCTTACGTATACTTTGGGTTTCAATTCTGATAACAGATAAAATGAAATCTGATTTTGTAAACCACAGTAGTGCCCTACCACAGTACCTATAAAATTAATGAGAAAAACAGTCATTCAGTTAGTTAGTTCAGTTCTCTTTTCTCTCTACCTCTGGATCCCAGTTTCCATTTTCAAAGAACCTCCTTTTGGTCCACAAACCAAAAAAGAAATTGGACAAATTACACGACATTGGAATAGGCCTTTGTCACAAAGAGGTGTTCAAAGCACAGTGTGAAGAGTAATACGTTACAATGGCCTTATCCAATGTGTCCATGTGCATTCCTGAGATATACATCTATATATTTTTTATTATTAATACTAATAAAGGCAGGGCACGGGTGCAGCAGGCCTTAGTTCCTGTCTTTGGGGACTTTCATCTTTAATATAGTCTCTTAAAAATACATGCATTGCTACATTTTTCATTACCCTTGATTTTTTCATCAATCACGTTAATTTATACAGGGGGCACTTAATAATAGCTAATTAACACTTATGACTTTTTAAATTAAAAGACCTTTAGAGAGATTACTGCTGATTGCGAAAAGGTTTTTGTTCCTCCCATTAAAAAGAGAAAGAAAGAGAGACTGAAGATCTGGCTCGGGCATATGAGGGGAACTTCTCTCTTGCTTCACCGATCACACAACAAACAAAACCAGCAAAGGCCTGCACAACGGCAATACTGCTATTAGCCTACGCTCCTGAAAGGTGCCATTATTTTAGCTGATTATTAAGCAGCATATATATTATTCAAAGTGACCTTTAAATAGCTGAAAATTAAATTATAATTTACTGGGAAGATATCTAAAACCATGTAGCTATTATTACCAAAAAAAAAAGGACCATGAGCTCATACCATCTCCTGAAAATACATTTTTATTATTACCAAATGCAGTGAAGAGAGAAAAGGCATTGAATTCTGACAGTAAGAGGGCTCTCATGGATATAAATAATAATTGTTAATAAATAACCCCCCTGTTCCTACAGTGAAAAGTTGCCCATGTTTAATTTTTGACTGCGTTCACTTTTGGATATATCAGGGAGCTGCTGGGATTCACACCACTTTCCCTCTCTAACAGAAGTATGATTTCTTCCTTTAAAAAAATTGATTTCTCATCATTGAGTGTCTGTGCTAAACACTTCCAGTGTTCTCTAAATCTTTATGATCTGGCCATATAACTTTGTTTTAAAGCAGCAGTGAGGGATTTTTGTTGGTTTTGTAGTTGTTGCTATCACTATTATAATAATTATTACTATGACAATATTTTAATAAGACTAACTGGATGATGATAATGATGATGATGACGATGACGACGATGATGATGATGTCCCACCAGTAGATGTCTCCATTTCCTGACAGACTCCACAGAAAATACTCAGCATCCATAACATCCATAAGATCTTACATCAATCTGGTGATGACAGGAGGGAATCCAGTTTAGAAGGACAATATTCCACACCTGAAGTAACCTCTAACCAACCTCCCTTCAGCTGCTCAGGGGCCTGAGGGAAGGCTGTCTTGCCTGTCCAATCCTTCCTGCCACATATTTACCCAAGGCCGTGGTGCTTCTGCTCTTTAACAATGAGAATATACAGCTGCCAGTAGCAAATGCTCCTTGCGGATAGTGTTTCTAGATAAGATGAAATCAGGCTCATACAGTGTAAAAAGAGACAAACACCATTCCTGTTTAGGAGCTGCTTGCTCTTTTTTTTAGGCACATAGCAATGTGTCACCTTGGCAGCATCATTTTGCAGTCTGCATCTCATGTTAAACCCTGTGTTTCACAGGGTTTGCCTGTTGTGAATATAAAGTGTATGGGATAGGATATTTCTCTGCTACACATCAGACTCAATAAAAATAGAATCCACAAACATACTGATGGGATGGGTTCAAAAAAATCCAAATGCATTAATGAAGTTGATTGAACGTAACAGTCTCTGCTTAATCTTCTATGAATTTGTTTGGGGCTGTTTGGTATCATTTCAGCAGTTAAATACAGCTGCACAAAACTATATACTATCAGAGATAGCAAAGTCCACATGTAGAGTCAGTGTACAGCATTGATAATCATAAATTAGCAGGAACGGTTGAGAAAATAAAAAATGCAGCCATCCTGGATATACATGTCCTGCTCCACGAAATTAGTAAAAAAAAGATCTTTTCAACTGTAAATGTGAGAACAACTGAATTTCTAACTGAAATTGCTTTTTTGTTCAGGCTATATCTACTTTTACATCTAAGTGAGTACATTGTTTCCATGTTGGAGATTTGTCTTCTGAAAGAGGACAGTCAAATTGACGAAAATCAAAGTCTTCTCTGTTTAAAAAAAATCTTAGAAAATATTTAAAATATTCAATATTGAAACTTAGAGTAATTTCCACTGCATTCCATTAAATTATGTACCAAATTCTGTAAAGAAAATCCTAAAAACAAATAGAATAACAGAAAGAGTAGGGTTTTTCACTCTCAGAACAATCTTTATCACAATCTTCCAATCCTCAATCATCTTATCATTAAACATGGAGATGATCTCGCTGATTCTATAGGACTATTTGTGGTTTTAAACAAAAAGTACAGCCAGGGCTAATCTTATCTCTAATTCTTGAAGAACACACAGCCTTTAAAAGTCAAGTTGTCTGGCTCATAAAAAAGAAAGAGCTGGAACAAGCAATGATATGTTTTATTGATGAAATACAATTTATAATTACAGTATAAATATAGGCTATATATGCACATTTTGAGAAAATGGATAGAACATTTTAAATAAATTAGGTTTGTAATGAGTTTTTTACCCATCTAGAACAGAAGGGTTGACTCTAAAAGCACAATGAACAGGACTCACCTCAAGAGACACATTCAAACTATATTAGAAAAAATCTTTAGACCAACAAATATTGCTGTATGGTTTCCCTTTTCTCTGAAGCCCACAGAACTCAGCTTGCACATGGTGATCATTTTTCTGCCACAAGTCTGTTACGTTGCTCAAAGAAGTAAAGAGATGCTGTCAAAAAGATGATAATCTTTGTAATCTTCTGAATAGATAGCCAAAATGAAATAGCGTGTCTTATTGCATGGGAGTCGTAGAGGTGAGGTTGAGTAGGTTTGCAGTGACTGAATGATGAAGAGCTCCGTAGGGTTTTGTTCTACCATTGTTTTCCTATTGGCTCCAGAGAACTTTGGATGAGGTCCTATGGGCTGACCATCCCAGCTAATCATGCTAGGTGTGATATTTTTACCTGAAACAGCTAACAATTGTACTTTTAGGTCCTTTGTGAGGACTCTTTTCTGTGGCTCTCTTAATTTTTGCTATTCGAGATGGCATCTCAGCTCTCTGACAGCTCCAAACTGGAGAAAGAAGCCAGCCCAAGGGGGTGCCAGTTCTGAATGTTTCATGCCTGTTCTGCCATCTCAACCGAGATTTTCTGCAGTAAAGAAATACTGACCATGTACAGGAAAATTGGTCTCTGATGCCAAGACAGTCTTAGAGCTGGGGCAGCAGGAGTTAGCAGCCGCGTTATCAAAGGCAATGTTTGCCAGCTTGGCTGTGTGGTGGGACTTGAAATGTAGTGGGGGTCGTCGCTCACCTCTCGTCAGAGGAAGCAGGCTGGCTTGTATCGGGAATCAAAGCAGCATAATAGAAGAAACTCCTTCAAGTGGGTAGTAAGGCAGCGTAGTATGGCTTTGAAATTGCTTAACATCCTGATGAACTGGAGCAGGATTTACATATAAACGAGGTCATACAAGCATATTCTCCATAATGCTTTGCCAGTAACCACCTCAGCATTATTCATTTTGATATCACCCCATGCTGTGAAAACATGCATGAACCAAGAGAGTTTTACTGTGTTCTACAGGGTAGAAAAAAATAATTATAAATAAAAATAAAAAGCAAATACTCATTATTATATATTGGCAATTTACTTGATAATGGCCCACATAGTTACAACCAACATCCTTCATGTTTGATTTTCATGCTACAAGTGCCTTCACAGTTTAAAATAAAACTGCTGTGGTATAGTGTGTTGAATTACCAAATATCTGAATAATAATAATTAAAAGGAATTTGAAAAAGCTAAGCTTCAATTTACAATGATTTTCAACTGAACATAGAAATTTTTAAATCTTTCTCGCTCTATAATCCACATTTCCAGAAGGGTCCTGATTTTTTCTCTCCCTACCAGCAGACAAACATTTTTGCCTCATTATCAGCACCGGAGATTCATACTTACTTTATTGGCTCAGAAGACCTCAAATGCTCTGCAGATTGTAGTGTGTGAAATCCTGATCCTGCAAATAACAATAGGCAGTGGAAACCCCAGCCCTAAAGATCAGGAAGAGGGACATATGTTTAATCCCTTTATTTTCTACTATGAGAAAGGTAACAGCAATACCTCACATAACTTGGGACAGCAAAAATGCAAGGGAAGTTGGAATCCATGGGAAGTGGTAGTCTGCTCTCAGAGAAGGGATCTTTCCCCACAGTATTTTTATCAGTAAACAGCAGAATCACTTTACCAGCTAATTCATCTCTCTCCTATCTATTCAGCATCCATTGTTTTTCATATGAAAGCAACAGAAATGACGAGAACCCTGGTGGATTTCATTAAGACTTTGGCAAGGCTTCCATTTTTGGGATTAAATCTCTTTTTTGGTTCTTTTTGGGAAGTGGGTGGAGGTTTAAGGTTCAGAGTGGGTAGCCAGTTAAGGCTCAGGGGCTTAAACTACATGTATGACTCAAAGTGCTGTTTCTCAGAAGGCTTGACTGTTTTCCCTGGAGATTTAACATCCGTTTGATCTCTACTGGAAGACTGCCCACTGTGAGATCCCCTTAACTGAAGATGTCCCCAGCATTTATATGTTACTTCTGGTACTTTGTGAACTGCCTTGTCCCCAGGGAGCACTGCTATCATGGCAGTGGATAAATCGGAACTGGAACTTTGATGTAAATGGGGCTGAATCCGTTAATTGCTTTAAAAGTCTTTGTGATTTGCATTGTCCCAGAAGACATGCAGTTATAGTGGTTCAAAGATCATACCACGCTTTGATGTTGCCAGGGCTAGATTCATTATTGCCTGAAATTGTAAGAACAAAGCTTTACATGGACACTGGAAATTAGCTGGGAACCAGCGTGGGGATGTGATCCATGCTATTTCCTTCTCCAAGCTTAATGAGCCTTAGAAGACCCCAGCACTTTCTTGGTACGCATGAGTTTGGTTTTGGCAGATGGGGACACAACGCTTTGGCTGGTTCTTTGAGTGTTGCCTGAGCTCAGCTACAGCCAGCTGCTTCATCCTGGAGCTAGCTCCTTAGGGATGTTCGGACATTTTATAAATGCTGGGCATGAGTAGTGCTAGCAGCTTGTCTGTGGAAAAATGGCCCTTGGCACACTTATCAGAGTGTGTGACTGCTGTTGTGGTCAAATGCTGTCCCAAACTTAACAGACGCTGCTAGATATCCCAAATTCTAGAGGTTTATATTGTACTGTCAAGCTCTGTCCCATGGGAAAACTGTAGGGGACGTAGGTCTTGCACTGTTTTGGTTATGATTACCTGTTGCTTTTCTGGATCATCGTCAGCCTGGCTTGCAAAGTATCAGGATCACAGCCTGTGCACGAGTCTGACTTACTGCACACATGAGGTAGCCTCTCTGCACATCCATCAGTTGTCTGTCTGGAACTGTCAACGTCTCCATTCAGCTCTGTGCTTAGGGTCTCCAAAATCTTTTAAGATATCTTTGGTCAGGGACAGATCCTTGCAACGAAGCCCCGGTGTTCAGAAATTGTACTCAGACTTCAGAGCCCGAAGTTGTAGTGTTTGTGCAAATTTTAGTCTAGCTCTGTGGACCAGGAAAACAAGGCTATTACCTTCCTAGGATGAAATCCATTCATTATACTGTGTACAGAGCTCACGTATATGTAAGGAAGAAATCAGATTCATTTTGTAGCCTGCACAGAAATTATTTTAAAATACACACATAGGATGGAAAAATGGCCAACATAATAACAGTAATGAAATCAATAATAATAATAGTAATTAACAATTCCTTTCCATTTTCCAGACCAGGCAAGGAAGAGTTAAAACAGTTTGTACCAATTATTGACTACAAGATCTGCAAATGATTGCATAAAATTTCCAAAATATGCCTGCAAGCTTCTATTATTGATGTTGTGCCCCAGGACATGCACATATGGATTTAATTGTCTAAAGTGTTTTATTAATTAAATTGCTATGATTTACCTCTCCCATGTTAGCATTTACAGTTTATGAAACAGCTCGTAATTAGGAAATGACTATACTGATGTTGCTTGTTTACTTTGCAAGCAATACATAATAGTGCCATATTCCTCTTTTAAACCCACCCTCCCAGGCTACCTTTTTTCTAGCCCGATTAATAGGCAACTGCTGCTGGTGCGTTAAATTGCTTTTTGGATATGTGTAGGGGGGAAGATAACTGCTGGGGTTACTGCTGCCGGCGAAGTGTACAGCAGCATCCTTCTTCCTAGACTGGAAGCTTCATCCAAAGCTCACTGAAGTTAATGGACATCCTACTCAGGTTGGTGTGGTTTGGGTCCGTCCGAACAAGCCAAAATGAGGATTTTTTTCCCTAAATACAGCATCATGTTGATTGTGGAACCCCCAACATACTCTAGCCAGACAAACACTATTTTATTTGAGTTTTCTTTACTGACTCTCAGAAAGATCTTCTAGAATACTTATCAATAAATGCCCTGAAGTTGTGCACAACTGGATTTATTCAAATGAAAGAAAGTGTGTAAGTTTTAGGCAGAAGGATATTTGCCAACGAGTAGATAGGTATTACTGCATCAAAAGGTTACTGAGCCAATCTAAATGATAATCCATCTCTGTCTGAAAGTTAGTATTATTAAATGTATAATTAAATTCTATATTCTCAAATTTTGTACATTTTTTGCTTATTTGGAGAACGCAGACACCATATAAGTGACCTATATGTATAGGTGGAGGAAGAGAGAGAAGAAAGGAGTATTATTATAGCAGGCAGTTGGACTAGATGATCATTGTAGGTCCCTTCCAAATGAAATTTCTATTCTATTCTATTCTATGATATATTTTAAGACCAGAATGGAAGAGAATGATCTCTTGAGTAAAATATGCCACAAAGTATCACTATAAGTATTTTCTCTTTGCTTCCATTCTGCTGCTTTTCATACTGGGATAAGATCTTACATAGGCAAGGCCTCTTGCGCTCCCATAATTTCCAAAGAGCTTTACAATCTTTGTTGATGCCCATCAACTCAGTACTCTGCTCTCCCCAGCTTCTTACTGAGTTCCATGGGAGCAGGGCCGGGCATAAAGCAGTTGACAGCATTGACTCATCTACCGTATGTCCTGGCTTGTTTGTGATGCAAGCTAAAACCTACCCACATCTTTGGTTGAAAGCTGCATTTTAAAAAAAACAAGTCACCAGAATTTCACAAAGGAACGAAGGTGATATGGGGGTTGAGAATCAGGACTTAAGACGGCCACATGGCAACTGGCATTTTCTGAGAGAAAAGACTGACTTTCCTTTGAAATTCATAGGAAATTCCCTTTACTATGACACAAAAATCTTGCCCACCTTAAGACTTTGTTTTGCTATTCTAGCCACGTAGGAGATGTCTGGATAATGCCACATCTTAACTCCCCCTGCCAATGTAATGCTTAATAGACGCCTTTCACTAGACCACAGAAGATAAAGCGATCTTTGGGCTAGCTACTATAATCGGTCTTAGCAGCCCTGGACTGTTTTAGTGGCTTTGGTAAAACATAAAATTGTCTTACAAATGATTCCTGCCCCTGTGGCTTATTGAGCACTTGGTGTGTAGTGAGTTATATTTCAAAGGGGTAAATTAACAGTGGATCTCTCTACATGTAAAAGTTCTTTGGGGATAGATCTTTAAATGGGGATTTACTGACACTGTTGTATTGACTTTGATTCCATTTGATGAACGAGTGAGGTCATGTCCATCTTCAGTCTGGTTGATAAGTTGGTTTCTTCCTCCTTCTTTGCTCTCTGTGTAATAGGAATGGAAAACTGCTGTGATGTAGCAGTGTGCTCTAAGATAGCTAAAATTAGATAAAAAAATGAGCTTTCAGGTAGGATTCCAGAGCCTTATTTAATGCTTTTAAACAGCTCTCTAGTTTTCTAAAATGTTCATCAAAGTGGATGTGCTCAGGCCTATAAAACCTGCTAGGCAATAGCACCTTTGAAAAGTAGATCCTTTCTGCAGGTGTGAAAATACCACCACCCCAGAATGATGACCAAAATACCACTGTTCCCTCAGAGGTAGACTCTCATGTGACATAAATATTCCTTATCCCAGGCCAAGGTTTTCACACATTAATACCTTAGGCTGATGCTGTTTTACTACTGGAAGTACACTAGTACTCTTACTAGTACATTCACACTTAGGGAAATAAAGAGTAATTTCGTAAGAGTCAGGATAGTTCTTCCTGCATAAAACCGGTGAATGTGAGTGAAAAAATAAGCCTATCTATTTCTGCCATTTCCAAAGCTGCAGTGGACTAAGAACCTGAACTTGTCTGTCCTTAGGAGATATAACATGCTGGCTACTGTCCTTCTAATACACTTTCAGGAGTACCCAAGCCACACTGATTAACTTTAGCCTGTTGAGACCTTTCTTCCTCTTTGATTGATGGAGAGTGACAAGAAGGTGATTCGGAGGAGAAGCCTGACCTGGGCCTAGGTCTTGCTGTGGAGCCCTGGAAAGCATCCTGAGATGGGTAAAGGCCATGCTCCATGCCAGCTCTTAACTTCACGCTGGGTGAAAATCAGCTGTGCCCCTCTGTTTGGTGCTTTAGTTTTCCTGAGAGGGAAACAGAGGAATGAAGCCAAAGATTCCTGTCACATCTCACAGGGCTCACAGATCTCACGCCTTACTCATAGCCACCACTGCCCCTCAGAAGAATCCCTCTCTCCCCATCAGCTGCAACAGGAGCCTGGAGAGGTATTTTGGAAAGCTCAGCTTCCCCTTCCTGGAGTGGCAAAATTCACTTTCTCCACAGCTGGGAAGCTTTGAGTAGATGCTGCCTAAACCATGCCACAGGCTGTACACTTTCCGAACGCACAAAGTTGCCTTCTTTGCTGTCATGTGCATGCTTCAGGCACCCCACACCTTCACTAGGTGATTTCATTAGGATTCCAATTAAAAGCATGTAAAGAAATATCTCTGTTGCTCTTTTCATTGTAAATATTGTAACTTTGGTTTGCTACTGGAATTTTGAAGCTGGTATCCGCAATTAAAATACCAATTATACTGGTTTTCAGTTTAATTTTGTCATTCAGCCCCCTATAAACTCCCTTACTATACCTAATAAAAAAAGAAACTAATCAGAAAAAAAACAAATAATCATGAAAAAAATAAAAGCATGAAATCCTCAAAGATACAGTCTAACCTTTATAGGATTCAGAAAGCCACTTAGTATCAGCACTTAAAATAATGTTTAGCTACATGAGGGCAACAGCAGTACATCTATCATAGTAATGGTTTTGCCTCTTCAAAACACTAATCAGTTGAATTTAAAATGGCAACATCGGTGTCAGCATGCCATCTTCAAATCCCTGTCATGATTTTTGGTGTGCGTACCGTGCATTTCTGGCTGGAGCAGCTGGTGGACAGCCTCTGGCTGGTGCAGAGCTCTGCCTGATCGCGGCGCCTGGCTGCTGTAAGCCCTACAGTGTTTTCCCCTTGTGGAACACCTCACCTTTGCTATCATGGACAACGCAACAAGCAGCCAGCCCTGAGTATGGGTACTCCTGTACACACTGTGCACTCCTGTGCCCTGTTGCAGCTGTTGGCTTCTAAACTAAATTGACAGAAGAAAATTAATTAAGTATGTATAAAAAGAAGACTGTTTTTAAAGGCATGCATACAAATCTTGCCACCAAACAACAATGTTCTTCAAGAATAAAATGTCATTCCCTAACTGAGGGCTTGGTCTAAGGCCTGAGAGAATCAAGGAGAATGGTTTCTGCTGACTTTTTCGGGCTATGGATAAAGTCCTTCAGGAAAAATTTTCTTCTCTCATCTGTAACTCATGCAAGTGGCCTGTAGATTCCCAATTAAAAAAAAAAATATTCCTTAACCTGTGCCTTGTAAGAAATAAGGAGCATGAGTTTTTCTTGTGCCTTTTCACATCTAAAATATACCCAAAGCCCTGGGGTACAGCATGTCGCTGTGGCTGTAAGTATAAGAAGAGCTCATCTGTTTATAAGCAGGGCCAGAATTTCAGAAACGCTCATTGTGCACAGAAGGACCAAACTGAGTATCTGCAGCCATGAGATGAATCCTCGGATGGCATCAATCGTAGCAGTCCTCTGGTGGTGCTGGGGCAGGGTATGGTGGCTGTGGGTCTGTCCTGAGGCTTCTAGCAGCCATCGCCACATTCATCCATATTGACTTTGGGCTCTTTTCTAAGTCATAATGAAAGCTGGTAATTTCAGGTGCCCAGAACCAGAAGCTGAACCCTTTTTGTGAGCCTTCACTTGAAAATTTGCCCCCATAAATGCCTCTGCCAAGTAGCCCCGAATTAATACTACATTAATAATGAGGCTGCAGTAATGTGGAAGCCACACTTGGCACCCATGAAAAGATAAATTTATGTCATTTTCCTCTTCCATTTTATCTCTTGCGACAGTATTAATCGGCCCCAAGTGACATATTTTATGATGGCCTTTTTTTATTAAGCGCTAAGCAAAACCTGTATTTCTCCAGAGCACGCAGGGGCCACTAGTGTGAATTTGTCATTAACATGCTAAAGAGTTCTGCTCAAAGAATAGTGTGACCTGTTCGTTTGT